TTGGATGTCTGCATTTCTGCTACAACAGCGAAATCTTCCGTGTTCCAGAGGAGAGACAAAGACAAGATCAATTAGATACTATGGATGTTCTCACGGTTTCCAGGTATAGCTATTCAAAAATGTTTAGCCAAATATAATATAGACAAAGATGAGATGCCATATTTATTGAACAAATGTGAAATCATACAGATTTATACAGGAATCATGTAAAAAAAATAAGAAAAAAATTTTTTTTTCCATGAGTTTTCCTGAGATTTTCAAATTCTGCAGAATTCTATGCCAGAGACGCAGAGCTAATGACATCCCATAATTGGGCAATATTATTCAGCCATAAAATAAGAGTTTTTAGACAGAATGCACTCTCTTGCAGCATTAGAAATAGAATTTAGATGGCTTGAGTGGTGGGATTCAGCTGATTCAGGCCGGTTCGGGTGAACTGGTAAATTGCTGGCTGGCTCCACCCCTACCTGCCCCACCCCTTCCAGGAGTCCCCATGCTCCCCATTTTGGCTCCCAGGTAAGTGCAGGGAGGCCTCCTAGGCCCAAAATGGGGAGCAGGGGTGTGTGGCGCGTCCCCCCGCAGCCCGTTTTTGCTCCCAGGAGGCTTCAGGGAGGCCTCCTAGGCCCAATACTGGGTGCGGGGAGGGGTGCGTGCAACCCCACACGGCCTGTTTTCGCTCCCAGGAGGCTTCAGGGAGGCCTCCTTGGCCCAACACACCCATGACCCATTTTTGCTCCCAGGAGGGTGCAGGTAGATGAGTGCTGCCTGTCACACCCCATGGCCATGGCCACGCCTACCCAGCCGGTCACTGCAGCAGAGAACCGGTTTTTAAATTATTTGAATCCCACCACTGGATGCCTTGTCTTGATATGCTAGGCTAAATTGTTCCAAAGATAAATGTGATGAAAAATCTTGCTAATTTCTGCCAAGAAGTTACTCATCATCTTAAATTATTGTCTCTTTCAAATTGGCTAGTTTTGACAAAAATGCTGTTTGATATATAATTTATACATGGTTTCTCTTCAAATACAGGATTGTAGTAACGTGTTTCTATTCTAACTTACTTGCTTTTAATCTATTTCAAGGAATTATATCTCAACTTCAAAGACACCTGTACTCATTTTGGGGACTTTTTAACAATATACTGCAAGGAGATGAAATTGAAGAGTGATTAACATCTGGCAAAACCAGGAAAGTATATCAGGAAGGCCTACTGAGATACACTAAGCTAGTATAATATGAAAGTGTACTGATGCATACAAAGTCAGTAAGCTAACCCTAATAAAAACATTATCTTGACTTAAAATGTATTTTGGTATATATTCCTGCCTTCTATTTTCCCCATAACAGGTCAGTGGATTGGGGTGAGAAAGTGATCCTGTCATGACCATGACCAAAGTCACTCTGCCATAAATTACATGATAACAAAAAGGAGACAAAGCTTTTGCAACTAGGATCTTGACATTTTTTGTTACCTTAGGCTGCAAAATTCCATTGGAGCAGATCTTTATTTTGGATCAAAGCCTTCTTCCTTGATACCTCTCCTAGAAAAAGTATACCCCCCATCCCTTTTGCTGAAAACACAATGCTCACATCTTAAAGGATAAAACTGACATAAACCTGTTGTCAGGTCAGACAGAATTAACGTTATGCCAATTTTGAACATCTGCTTCCCAATCTCAAGGCTGTAAAAAAAACAAATATTCATTGATTTGCAAAAACAGCAGGAAATGTATTAAATTGAAATCCTAGAAAATCTGCCCATCTCTCTGGCCTCTTTAATTTTTGTGAACTGCAGTAGGCAGAAATTTTGTTTGCACGTGTACAGGTTTGCATATGTGTACCTCGTTTAGTGACTGACTCGTTTAGCAATCTTTCATGGTTATGACACTGATGGAAATATAGCTTTGTGGCCAATCCTTACATTTTCGACCTTTATAGATCTGTAAAACAAGATCATAAGCCCAGTGGAAATTTCATTTAGTGACTGCTTTGTTTAACAACTGAGTTGCCGGTCACAATTGTAGTTGATAAACAAGGTCACCTGTATATAGCTTTATCCTTGTCTGCAATAGAGAAACTAATTCAGAAAAGTTGTGTCAGCCAGCCTTCTTCCAGGTTTGCTTCTGCCACAATGTGGATTTAATGTCTGGAAAGCTGAGATTTACAGCTGTTCTTTGTGAGGCCTGCCAACTGCCATCTTTTTCTCACTCATGAGTAGTAGTTAACATTCCATATTTGAAACTCTAAAAAACTATTTATTAATATAGGAATATGGATGAGGCAGAATTTTAAAAGATTATAAATAGCATTAGTAAGAAGTGGAAAAATTCATACCTTGTAATTTTCTCAAGATCCTGGCTTGCTTGGCATGGTGTAGTATGGTATGGCTTTGTTTGTCCCCTACTAACTGCTTCCTATTAACTTTTGCATGTCAATAATACTTTCGGTTCTATTTCTCCCTGTCTCTGTTCACCTTTCCTAGCAGTCTCCTACTGGTTTACCAGTTTCCCTCAGCTTTGGGCTTTCTTATATTTGATTTTCCTGGGTAGATGACATAATTTTGAATTCAGAAATCTTTGAATTCAGAGATTCTATTTTATCTGATCCACCCATCCAGCATTCTGCTTGCACTGTGCTAAAGACAACCTTATCCATTCCTCTAATTCTCACAATAATCACATAAAAGAGACATGCCTAGAAAAATCATTGAACTCACATAGCATAAGATACAGGAAACAAAAGTTTGTCACATACTGTGTGCTAACTAATAAACCATAGTTTGGAAACCAGAGTGGCTAGATACCCTAAATAATAATGGAGAGGATTTTTTATTTCAATTTACCATGCTGCGTAAAGGCAATTTTGATTGGTCGATGCATGCGATTTTCATATTTTCATATAAAATGAATGATGAATGTGTCACTTGCAATCAAGTGCATGTCAGGCTGTAAAGATGACAGATGATAGACAGATATAGAACTTAAGTATATGTGAGAACAATTGGTATTCAGCTGCAAAATTAATGTGATTGATAAAAATCATTTCTAAAATTAAAAATGTACTATAAGTAGTTAACTGCATTTCAGTTCTCTGTTCCAGACAAGTGAAACCCTTGGTTTCCAAACTCAACTGCAATTTTCTCATAGATGACAATGTTTCCTGTTTCTAAGGTCAAGGCAGAACTCCTCTTGTACCTCCTGCTTCTCCCAAAGATCTACATGGCCCCCAGCCACATTTTTGTCTGTATTATGTTGATGAAGACTCTCAATCATCCAGGAAAAGGTGTCTTAACGCTTTAATCTGAACTAATTTTTTTATTGTTAATTTGAGATGTTTGCTGCCCATCCAAGCAGCTTCATCAGTCAGAATAAGCTAGTTAGGCAGATGGAATGTACTAACTCTTGTTACACCAACTTCAGGTCCCAAAATACGTTGCAATGCGTTGATAGATTTTGTCTGAATTAGCTTTTAAGCTAATTAACAATGAATCAATTCTTTAAAGAAAACTCTGGGGGTAGTTTCCACCAGAGAGGGAACAGAAAGGAATACTGGCCATGAGAGAAATCCTTGAGCATCAACTTGAGAGGTTGACCGAACAATGAAGTACAAGAACAAGGGGAAAGACAAGAGAAGGGGAAAAAAAGCAAAATAGTGGGAAGATGGGCAGCACTATACTGTAGAGTGGCAGCCATCCTGCTTTTGAATGGTTGAATAGCTTCTGCAATTGGCCAAAATAGCTGACTACAGAAAAAAAAATTGGCCCAGAAAAAAAGTTATTAATGCAGAGAAGTGTTCTCGGCCATAGGTATGCAGGAACAAAATAGGACGGGACAAAATTATCAGGCTTGGGATCTAGGACACATAACACCATATGCTTCATTGTCCACCCAGTGTGTCCTGAGTATCCTGTCACAGAACACACCATCTCCAGCATGGGCACCTCAATCTCCTCAGTGTGACGGAGCTGAACCAAAAAGCAATTTACATAAAGTGGCACAGACAAGTGCCTCTGGAAACAGGATGACAAGGCTTTAACAGATTTGCCCACAGAGGATAGCAGTGTTAGAAGACAGTCCTTAGAAGCCAAGATGCTGGACTTAATATCAGTTTGGTGCATCTTTTAATACTGCTGTGCTGTCAGGTGTAGTTTCTTTCTTATTCACTCTAGCAGGAATGGCATGCTACCTACCCATCTTTCAATTCTGTACTTGTAACACTGTGTGCATATTTACGTGAAGGTGCATATACACACATACGATAACTGAGGCCAGAGTGATCAGTATTTCAGGAATTGCATTGGAAAGATATCCTGTGGGCATCCTTTCCCAGGAGGATCTGTACAGGTAGTCCTTGACTTACAACTGTTCATTTAGTGACCATTCAAAATTATAATGGGAACTGAACAAAATGATTTATGACTGTTTTTTTAATACTTATGACCCTTGTAGCATTCTCCAGTCACATGATCAAAATTCAGATGCTTAGCAACTGACTCATATTTATGGCGGTTGCAGTGTCTTGGAGTCATGTGATGCCCTTTTGCAACCTTCTGACAAGCAAAGTCAATGGGGGAGCCAGATTCACTTAACAACTGTTACTAACTTAACAGCTGCAGTGATTCACTTAACAACTGTGGTCAAAAAGATGGTAAAATGGGGCAAAGCTCACTTAAACAAAGGTTTCACTTAGCAACAGAACTTGGGCTCAATTGTGGTCGTAAATCGAGGAATACCTATACTCCGACCTTAAATCACGAGCCGTTTGCAACGCCACCTCCCCCTCCACGAGACTAAATCACGCACATTTTCCACACCCGAAAGCCTTAGCGCAGCTGACGTATAGGAACCTCGCAGGGCTCGCTTTCCCTCATTGGCTGCTGCTTTATGACATCAGCCAATTGAAACATTCCAAATGCCGTCGGGGCGGACCGGCGAAAGCGTGGCTTGGAGGTTCCTACAGCAACGGCCTCACCCCCCCCACCCACCATCCCGCCCGCTCAATTAGCTCCTCCCCTCTCGGCGACGTCTCGGTCGTTGCTGCTCTTCGCGTTTGTGCTGTTGCCGGAAGTGAAGATGGTGGCCTTCACCGCCGAGGCGGATCTGGTGACGGGATGGTGTCTCTTCGGCCTTGCTTTACTGGTAGGAGGAATAAACCAGGACTTCGGCTTTCCGTTTATTTCCCTCCCTGTCTCGTTTCTCTCCTCGCCGCTGACGAAGCTTCTTCCCGCTCTCGGCGCCTCTGGGGAGAAATAGTTTCCGGGGAGGCGGTTGAGTTCATGTTCGGCACCGGCCCGGGGCTTCCTCTCTGGGAGCGAGGCTGCTCTTTGCCCAGTCAGGCTTCTTCCTCGGGTAAACTTAGCTAAGACTGAAGCCGTAGCGGTCAAGGTTGTATTGGAAAGTGCGCGTGTTGCGGCAGGAGTTCAACCGGTGCAGCGGTCAGAAGACTCAGCGCCTTTGTCGTGGGTGAGCGGGGCGAGCTGCGCAGACCCGAAGCCGACTCGTGTTTCTCCCTCCCCCCCCCCACTTAGAAAAACGTAATATAAAGTACACAACTTGAGTCAGGCTTCTCTAGCCCTGAACACCTCATTAAATCAGTTAGGGTTATATTGGTTATGCCCTCCAGAAGTGACCAAGCCTGGAGCAGTCTTGAAAAATCAAAAGCCTCTACTGCTTCTAAAGCAACGTGCATTGTATGAAATTGCAAATCAGTGACACTAGGCCAGTATTTGAGGTATGAAATCATATCATATCAAAAAAACTTATTTTTTCAGTTAGCCGGTCTGTCTTGATTTTAGGGTTAGTTTTAAATTTTTTATTATTTTTTTTATTGCAAAAGTTTTACAATTACATTTTCACCCCATTTCCCCCCCCCTCCTCAACCCACCCAAATCTCCCAACCTCATCCTCCCTAACCCTCCCTAGCCCTCCCCTCCCCCCCGGACTTCCATACAATATACTCAGATCAAGAGAAAAAAAACCCCTTTATGTAAAACTTGAACCCCTCCCTCCCCCTTATAATTTTTAACCTTCATTAGAATTTTAATATTGATTTTAATTGACAAGTTTTAAATTATGGGCCAAATTTATAAATTATTTTAACTTTATTTTTAACTGTGATGTTTGTATAGATGTTTTTATCTTGGCTGTTCACCGCCCTGAGTCCGAAAAGAGAAGAGCGGTATAGAAATTTGAATAATAAATAAATAAATAAAAATATGTTTCTGTAATATCCCAAGTTTTGTGTAGGCTAAGCCAGCATTAATACATTTTGTTTTACCAAAATGATTAATCATCTGAACCTCAGGTCAGTAATAGATACAGTCAGGATATTTTTAAAGAAAACGCAGCTAGGAAGTGCTGCTTCTCTTTCTCCTGATTTAATACCTGTAATTCCATTACCTCCATCGTGGACGTTTTGGGACAGTTTTCCTGGTCAGACAGTAGAGGATCATACATGCCTGGGAAAAATCTGGACATAACCATGGTTTGTTAAATATAATTACCAGAAACTACGTAATTTCTTAATATGTTGCATGAAACGGTTTATTTAGTAAACTAATATGCTGCAGCAAACAGTTTAGTGAAAGTTTCCTCTGATGTACTAATTAATAACATTGAACTTTTTATTTTCTTTGTATTTGATTACATTCTCATCCATAGTTAATTGAAAAAAGTAACATTTACTTCATTTGGAATTTGTCTCCTGCTAGCTTCATTGGCACATCTGTGCACTTTTTGTAACAAAATTACAGAATTGACCATTGCTGCCTTCCTCTTTTAGTTTTTTAATCTTCCTAGTCTACAGCCCTGGGCTTTTGAGCATCTTGCCTTCAAATACTATTCTCAACCAATCTCATTGTATATATGTTGTGCACTGACAAGATTTGAAAAAAGAAAAAAAAAACTATTCAGGCCTTAACTTTTTAAGATCAGGTCAAGAATTCCTTTGTACTACAAGAGTAGATTCTCTATCATATTGTTGTTATATCAGACATATATCAACATTTTAGAAAAGGAAATATGATGGTACATGTAAAGCAATAATGTATTATGTTACACTAATGATAATTGACTAAACAGAAGTCAAGTGCGTGAAGAGATGAGGATGCAATCTGCTTCAGAGATGTGACTATTGATAGGTTGAAACTGCACTTCAGTAATATTTATGTAATTTTTCTAACATGTAAAGTTAAAATAAATAAGAGAATAAATTTCTCCAAATAAGCATATTTTGAAAGATAGCAAAGTTATTTCAGTATGTATATAAAGAATAAAATTAATGCTGAAATTATTATTTTGTTATAATTGTTTGTCTTTTTTTTTTAGGTCATTTTGGTGTTTTGCTGGGTTTATGTCCGCAAGTACCAGAGTAGGCGTGAAAGTGAAGTAATTTCCACCATAACATCTATTTTTGCTTTGGCAATTGCACTTATTACATCAGCTCTCCTTCCTGTGGATATTTTTCTAGTTTCTTATGTGAAGAACCAGAATGGAACTTTTAAGGTATTTATTCATCCCCCACTTTCAATAATTTTTATAACAAATCTTGTTCCTCTGGTTTTTTTGTTGTTTCTGTTTTGTTTGGGAAAGTAAAAAAGTATTTGAATTGTTTTAAAAACTAGAAAGCAAATGCAGAAAGACTGATTTAATTATGAATGATATTGACATGTTTATATTGTAATAATTAGATTGCTGCGTGTTTCTTTTTTTAAAAAAAAAACCTGAAACATTTGTTCTATTTTAAATCTGATTTTTGTTAGCTTTTGATCTGAATGTTTGCCTAGAGTTAAAAGGCAGGATAGAAGCTGGATGAGTGAAGTACATAAGTCTACTAAACAAACACTTAGAAAGCCTGGTTTCATTCTGGCAAAGTTGCACTTCATTTATTTGAGAGATATAAATTAATTTGATACACTTTATATTAAAAGAAGACTAATCAGAATAGACAGTTCCTGATACCAGGTGCATAATGTTGGCTATAACCTAGTTTTCTAGAAAAATATTTTCAAACATGCTGGTTCCATCTTTTTGTTTTATTCCTGCCATTAAGATTGTAATATTGATTTTTAAATTAAGTGATCAATACTGGTAGCAGAAAAGAGAGATATTTTTAGTGTTAACTCTAGTGGAAGGCATCTGATACCAGATTAAAACCTGGTTTTCTAGAACAATATTTTGAAAAATATTGGTTCTGCATATAATCGCAGGAATAAAACAAAACTTACATTATAATACAGTGATATAAAACCAAAAAGAATACATGAAAGAATACAACTAATTCTTATGGGTGAAAGTTTCCTGATTTCTTACAGGGACAACACACACATAATTATTTTTAAACATGTTTTGGAAAATATAATAATTACTGAACAAGTTTTTCTGATGAATTAACTTCATCCCCAAGGACTTAAAGATTCTTAAAATTTGGACCCATTGATTTCCCGAGATTTCCAATATATTATTTTATACATGATATATATAACCATTATTAACCTTCATACACACTTCAGTAGATTAATGGGAAATCTTAAACCTGAGTACTTGGGTGAATAGCTATAACTGAGGATTCTAAATTTTGAGTGGCCTAATGGCTAGCTAGGGAATTTTAAGAACAGTAAATCTTTGATTTAACAGACCTCAAATTACTGGGCTTCAGATGCCACAAACTATACATGTTATGCATGCTTCTGCATATCCATAACATCCTGTTCAGATGATTAAGGATGTGTAAAATAGGCATGCATATTCAGATACAGTATAATGGACATTCTAGTTTAACCATCACCATTTCCCTTTATTAGTTTGTTAAAGCTTTACTTATGTTTTCAAAATACAATACAGTACTGCCCTCCCAATGAGAGGAAAGGGGTGGGTTTCAAGGGGAAAAAAAGTTGGATTTTTTTTGTTCTTGTGAGTTTGGGCTGGGAATTAGATAAATAACTAGCTGAAAAACAATATACTAGACTCACTGGTTATGAAGATATTGACCTAGAAAACCCTAAGGAACAGGAGTAGTAAAATTAAATTGGCAGGAAAAAAGGTTTAGTCAAATGAGGTTTGAGCTGTTGTTGTTTACCCCTGTTGGTGCTGTGTGCTGGACTTTGTGCAGTTCTCTATCTGAATGACTCCTCTGCTTGCTCAGATAGTTTATTGATTACTGAATGCTGATTTTGAAATGGAGTTCTCAGCATCTTACAGATTCTTATAGATAAATATGAACAAATGTAATTTATTTTATTTTATTTTATTTGTATACCGCCCTACTCCCGAAGGACTCAGGGCGGTGAACAGCCATAGAATAAAACATATAAATACAAAATTTAAAATAGAGTAAAACGAATTAAATAATTTGGCTGAAAATTTAAAACCCCAGTAATTTAAAACCAAATTTAAAATTTCCATTTAAAAAGGGGAAAAACTTAATGAGTAATGTTTTTACTCATTTGTTTAATTGGATTCTTTGTATTGAGTTTTAGGACTTGTATGGAGAACTGATCAATTTTAGGTCACATGTACGTAACATTGAAAAATAAGTGTTCACAAACTTTTAAGCACTACTGTAAGGGGGAAATTGGATTCTGCAATTAAAATCTTCTGAGGAAAGAGATTGGATGAACTGCTCCAGTTAGATTCTGGAGTAGGATGGACCATCTCCCCTTTCAAGAACAGGTGGTTGCCTGTAATTATTTTTCTCTTGGTACTCTTTCATTTGGGGAATAGGCACAGATACTGTCAGGGAATTGTGCAGCAGGTGTCCAAACGAAGTCAGAGACACTGACTTGTAGTTTTATATAAATAGCAATAGCATTTAGACTTATATACTGCTTCACAGTGCTTTACAGCCGTCTTTAAGCGGTTTACAGAGTCAGCGTATTGCCCCCAATGATCTGGGTCCTCATTTTATCAACCTCAGAAGGATGGAAGGCTGAGTCAACCTTGAGCCTGGTGAGATTCGAACTGCCAAATTGCAGGCAGCTGGCAGTCAGCAGAAGTAGCCTGCAGTACTGCATTCTAATCACTGTGCCACCACGGCTCTTAATATAAAATAAATAAAATAAATATATTTTACATACACCGAACAAGCTAGTCAGGCAAACAGTATCATCAGGTAAATCATAGAGCACACAGGACACAGAAGAAAAAGGTGGGGAAAAAAGGAAAACTTCCCCGCCACATCCACAGCAACCAATCACAGCACAGATTGCCTCATGCAGGAGCCAGAACTCTTCAACCAATCAGCTATAACTGTGTTCTGGCTCACTGTACAACTCCCACTTCTCCAACTACTAAATATAAATATCTTAATAGATACCCTGGAATTCAAGAAAAGGGAGTATGAAAGTAGATGGTTCAAATTCTGGCAGCTGTGTATGTATTGCAGTAAGAATTATGCAACATGCTTCTACTTGGGCATAAAGCATCCTTTGCTTTATTAGTCCTCAAACACCCCTAAATCTCCTTATGAGTGTTTATTTTATATCTGGAGGAGATTTGGGAGAAGTGTGGAAGAAGAATTTGATTGGCTAGCAGTCTTTAGTGAAATAGCCTTCACAATCGCTACCAAATGAAAATTTTAGATGGTCTTGAAAGGCAGTTTCATGCATAATACATTGCAGTAATGCAGTTAGGATGTTATGTGGTTGTTAATAATTGTGGCTAAATTATCCCTGTTCTGGAAAGGCTGTAGCCGGTAATCAGCAATGTCAGCAAAAGGTCTCTCTGCCACTGGAACTACTTGGACTTGAGTGACAAAGCAAAAGCTAAGGTCCCGAAATTATCAGAGGAAGTGCAGTCTCTTCCTAAATAGATTGAATGCTATTTTTCAAAACTGTATTTGACCCAGGTTCAGTCTATTTTACTATTTTCTTTATAGCTTTTCTCTTTCAGATCTTTAATTCTATTTTTTTCTCCAGTTTAATTACTTTTTTATATTCTTCTAAATCTACATCATTCCCATACTAGATTTTGTACGTCCTCTTTCTATATTGTGCAATTCACTATAATTGAAGTTGGGGTTTAGCCTCACAATATAGATTGGTATGACTGGCCCTAATAGATCAATGGTGGACATATGAGTTCCTTTTTAAAACAAATCTGTGTTCGCCCACCAGGGGTGGGTTTTACTTACCTTTACTACCGGTTCGCAATGGGAGTGCGCGCGCTTCTGCGCATGCACAGATTGTCAATTATGATGTCCGGGTGGGTGGGCAGAGCCTCCCGCCGCTTTTACTACCGGTTCTAAAGAACTGGACAGAACCAGGAGCAACCCACCACTGTCTCCCACCCTCTTCCAAACTAAACATAAATGTTTACCAGATATACTATGAAAAAGTGGGGTGGTGGGAAAGAAGGTTATTTGCTGTTCAGAGAGTGTTCAATTTAACTTTTGTGCTTTATAGCAGCAATTCTTGGTACAACCTTTTGTACAACCTTTTTGTATCCTAGACTCCTTTGACGGTCTGGTGAAATATAAGGGCATCTTTGCAGAAAAATATATTAAGCACATAAGATACATAGAGTTGAACTATATTACAAAAGAAAGCAGTTGTGCTTAAGCAGGCCATTAAAATATTTTTAAAATCACAAATGTTTGTTATATCAATTTTTCTTTATTCTTTAAATCAATAACAATTCACTTTTAGGGCATTATAACTTTAGATGCTTTGGGAAGATTTATTGAAAGTTTTTTAAAATATTTTTTTAAAAAAATATTAAATTACTTTAGGGAGAGAAATGTCATCTAGAGTTTCATACAAGCGAGATCTTGTAGTCTTTTCCTAAGTGTGCGTAGCTTGAGAAAAGAAGTATTGAGATGCTGCTGTCTGTATTCTGCAATGCAAATTCTTGCTTTTGCTCATCAAGTTGATATGATTTGCATTGGTTGTTAATAAGGGCAACCTGAGTACAATATATTGTTTTTGGTGACATTGTTATTAATAACAGTTAGGAAAGTAACTTTTAGCATTAAAAATCATAAAATGTACTCAACATCTTAGTATCTGAATGCTAACCATATCCAGTACTATTTACCTAACAGCCAAGTGCTACAGAGTTATAAGAATAAGAATAAGAATAATTTTATTTCTATACCGCCCTTCTCCCGAAGGACTCAGGGCGGTGTACAGCCTATTAAAAACACAAGACAATATCAGTTAAAATAGTTTAAAATTATTAAATGAATTCGGCTCAATTTAAAACCCCAGAAATTTAAAACCCAATTTAAAATTGTTATGTTGATAGACCAGCCTGGCGGAACAACAGGGTCTTGAGTGCACAACGAAACACCCGGAGGTCGGAGATCTTACGTATTTCCGGGGGCAGTTCGTTCCACAGGGCTGGGGCTCCCACAAAGAAGGCCCTCCCCCTGGGTGTCGCCAGCCGACATAACTTGGCCGATGGCACCCTAAGGAGACCCTCTCTGTGGGAGCGAACTGGCCGGTGGGAGGCTATTGGTGGCAGAAGTCGGTCTCGAAGGTACCCGGGTCCTGTGCCATGGAGCGCTTTAAAGGTGGTGACCAACACCTTGAATCGCACCCGGAAGACCACTGGGAGCCAGTGCAGCTCACGCAGGAGGGGTGTCACGTGGGCAAAACGAGTTGCGCCCATAACCACCCGCGCGACCGCATTCTGGACCAGCTGGAGCCTCCAAGTGCTCTTCAAGGGGAGCCCCATGTAGAGAGCATTACAATAGTCCAGCCGGGAGGTGACAAGGGCGTGAGTGACCATGCGCATAGAATAGAAAAGATGTTTACCATGTCTTGCAGGTGATCATAGAAAACAATTTGGGATAGTTCAATACATTATTTAGTTATATTTGGGGTTTAGAATCAGAACTATGACAGCTGACAAGTGACTTAGAGATCTGTTGCCAATGCTTGGTGAAGGCAGTACAGAATTTCCTTCAGAATGATACTGTATTGCAGGAAATTCTTATCTAGATTTTTAACCCCCACACAAGTGAAAAGGCTGTCCGTTTTCCTGAATATTTCACAGAGCCTTGTGGATGTATTCAAGTCACTTGGGGCCTCTATTTGCTGCAATAGAAAGTGTCATTCTCAGAATTTGTACTCTTAACATTGTAAGTGTAAATGAAAGTAACATTTGAACTTTTTTCCAAATGTGATCTGCTCTTGAGATTTAGGGCTATATGTCAGAACCTGCTGTCTGCAGGCTTTCTAAAATATAAGAAAATACAAGACATTCTGTGATTCCATAGTAATTAATCACAATAACATAAGGATGGGGCAGATTTTTTATATAGAAGCATAATTCTATAAATTCATATGTCAAGTTTCGGGGTCGTCTCGAATAAAATGCATTTCAAACAAAATCTTTGAAGAAAAAACTCCTATTTATTGAGCACGACATCCTAACCTGACTCCAAACGAAGCCAACACTGACTTCCAGCCCTAAAACCCTCCCTTTCCATTACCCACTCCCCTGCACTCATTGGCCATCTTCCAAGTCATTCTACCCCTAATCTACTCCAGCTCAAAGGAATTCCCCCACCCCCATCTCATCTCCTCGGAAACATTATCTCCAGGGAAAATAAGTAGGTGAAAAGTCCGCCGTCCCTTTCCAGACGCCTTCGCTTCTCCTTCTTATGTCAGCACTAGAGTAAATGCAGGTTGAAGTTCTGACATCATGGTTGTTACAGAAAGATCTTTTATTCAATCTAGATTATTTTTTATTTTAGGTATTTGTATTCTATAACTTTATGCATCTGTATCCTATTTATTTTTGTGTATCTGTTTTGATTGATGAAGCTGTCAGTGTTCTGACTGAGTGTCTTGAAGGTTTTCAGATCTGGATGAGAAGTTACAGGTTCAGGTTCTGTCAACGAGTAACTGGGGTATTTGTCTCACTAGAGCTGGGGGCTTTTCATCTTTAGTTTTGGATAGGGTTCAAGAGATTGGAGTTCTCCCAAGGCTTGGTACAAGGGTGAGGGTTGAGTCTCTGTCAGTTTTTTTGTTATGTTGTATAATTTCCAGACGTGCATGGTTCTTTTTTGCTCTGTTTTAAAGGGTGTTATTTTTCTTACTTTTAATTGTAAACTGCCCAGAGTTGTTCGGAACTAGGGGGCATCTAAATTTAATAAAATAAAGAAAGCACCCTACAACATTAAAATATATCACCTACCTATTTTGTAAATTTTAATTAAGATATATTAATAATCCCCTGATAATAAGCCCAATTGGGCTTTTGAGCGCATGGCAATAAAGCCAAACACTTATTTCAGGGTTCAAAAAAATATAAGACGGGGTCTTATTTTCAGGAAAACGTGTTATAGATTTCTTTATATGAAGAATTCTTGAATATTACTTTTAAATGGGCTTCAATATTATTTGTAAAGGTAATTAATTATATATAATTAGACTATATGTTTGCACAGTTGCAGAGATTGATCTTTTTAAAAAATTAACTGGACATTAAAATAGCTGCTTACATACTCTGACAGTATTTTCTTCTTCTGTGAACATTTGTAGGACTGGGCTGATGCCAATGTTACAAGACAAATTGAAGACACTGTATTATATGCATATTACAGTAAGTATTGCAAATATTCCTCTATAGTGAATTTTTTCATAAACTTAGAGTAAGGATGAAAAGCTTAGCAATTTCCAGAATCTAGTTAGATTTATTACATAATATTTCTGTGGTGCCATAGTCCAAAGTATTTCTTAACTGATCTCATGGTTATTTCTTTCATCTGATTTATACAATTTCAAAAGTTTTATGCTAGTTTTAACATTTAGGATGATGTCCCAAGATTCTGTGACAGTCACTGTATCACATTCCCTGTCCTTTTTTTCATATGTTCTTAGAGAAACATTGTTAATCTTTCAACTATTTTTTTAAAAAAAATCTGCATGCCTACGAAGTTATTTATATAGGAAGGCATGTCTGTTTGACAAAGTGTTCAGTTTTCCATGACAACAAATCATATGTACTTGTAAAAGCATATTTTACCTTTTATTTTTCATTAAATTTATATGCCGCCCACTTGGTGTCAAGCAACTGTGCCACTTATATCATCATAAAAGCAAAAGTACAAAATATTTTAAATATGATAACATTAAATATTAAAAAGAACAAAGATTTAAAAAGTTAGAAACCTGAATACAGCAGGGTGGAGAAGAGATTTTCTTCCTAATCCACTAACCACTTCCACCATGGAATGCCTCCTTCAAGGCCTCATGTCAACATGTTAGGACAACAAGAGCCATTCATTGCTTTATCTGACCCAACCCAGGAGTATTTATTTCCTGCCTTTATTATTTTTACAAATAACTCAAGCTGGCAAACATCCAACACACTTTCCTCCTCCTATTTTCCCCACAACAATCCTGTGAGGTGAGTTGGGCTGACAGTGATTGGCCCAAAGACATTCAGGTAGCAGAGTGATTACAGAAACCTAAGCAAGGTCTGACTTAACCAGTACTTAGGCAAGATACTATCAAGAAATTCCAAAATGCAAAGACTGCAGACTAGGAAGTTGAAAAACATTCCAGAAGAAGATACAGTAGTAATCCAATCCTGTATTGTTGCAAAAAAATCCTCCACAAAGCACGTAGATAGTTATCAAGAGTGGAACTCGACTTAATTGTCCTTATATCTTGTATTTGGATGCAATATATATTTGTCATAAATATATCTGAGTGTGTTTGATTTATTAAATTAATTGATATATTGACTATTTTTCATTATATAAAAATGCAGCATCTATACATGGTAGCATCAATTGTATCAAGAATATCACTGACATTCAATATGATCAATCAGGATAGTTTGGTTAATAAAATAAACAAGCTGTAAGAAGTCTACATCGAGAGCTTTAGCCTCACTTTGAGAGAGTATTAATTATTGTAATAGTGATCTTAAAAAAAGGATCTTCAATATATTTGCCCATCTCCTATACTGATAATTATATGCTTACAAATTTTAATCACCATAGTGCAAAATCTGGCACTGTTATACTTGATAAATGGTTTCCTGTCTTAAGAAAATCAATAGGATTTTTTTTTTTTTTTTGGCACATAAAATATGTCAGTAAAGAGAGGATAAAGGGTTGTCAGCTGCTTTGGTAATAGAGACAGTATAAAGGCATAGGTATGATAGTCTCTAAGGTACTTGTGTGACAAGTTCTTTCCTGCACAGGAACCTGGTAAATCTTCATTAAGAACTAAGGAAGACACGATGGAATCTTGTATTTAATAAGAAACAACATATTTCAAAAGTAAATGTTCTCCTTTGTTTTCACAATAATATCTATTTAAGTGTTAGCCTTCTAGTCATTATTGACTCCTAGGGACTGCCTGGACATGTTCCTGCAATTTTCTTGATAGGAATGTTTGCCTTTGCCTTCTTCTTAGGGCTGAGAGTGTGTGACTGGCCCAAGGTCATCCAGTTGGCTTTGTGTCTTAAACTGGACTAGAACCCAGGTTCTCCTGATTTCTAACTTAGTGCTGACACTGCTACACTAAACTGTCTCTTTGTCTGTCATGGATTACACTTTTATTTGAATCATTGGGATTTTGAAATTATGAAAGAAGAAATACATATTAAGTGGCTGAAACCACTCATGAAAGTTATAAATATTTTCTGTTTTGGAAGACTTGTATTTAGTGCAGTATATAAAACCATGGAAGTTTGACCGAGTATAGGTTTGGTGCTGTTGCATAAACCAGCCTCCAGATGGTGATAATGATTTAACTCTACACAAAATGTTCCTGATTTTTGTTATTCTAAGTAAATCAGATTAATGAGGTACATCTCCGTTACTCATTCTATGTTGAACTAAACCATGATTTAATAAAACAGGTATCAAAATAGTTTAATAGCACAATCAAATGTTAATCAGAACTGATGATTGGATTAACTTGTGGCTACATTTTAAGGTTTTTAAAAAATCCAGTGTGTCAAGCCATTTCTGATACAGTTTATTGCAGTTAGACGACTGTGAACAGTTTCCTCCTGTGCTTCTGCAATCTCCAAACAAAGAGTCCTAATGTTTAGATTATTCTGAAGGACTCCCACTATTTTCTCTGTATTGATATATTTGTCAGCTTTTATATTTTTTGCATCATCTTTAGTTTATGGTTTTCTGTGACTTGTTTTACATATCTAAAAACGTTGGCAAGTCATTTGCAAATGTAGGTGTGACAGTGTATGTTAAAAAAACGTGTTGTTCATCTTGTCCAAAGTTGAATGTGTTTGATTGGACATATAGTGCAAGTTTCTTCCGATCTAAGACTAGATGGCAGCAGTGAAAAAGGGCTCTTTCCCAGATGCTGAAGAATCTTTGATATTGTTAATCTTGAGAAAAAATATTTTAACTATTTTATGCAATGGGGAAATCTAGAGTTATAGCAACTTGCAAATTACACAATTTGATTTTCATTTAAAATAAGTCCTTCTGAAAATGGGCTCTCCATTTTCTAAGGCAAGGATTCTTTATGGGCTATTAGGCTATTAACTCTGCTGGAGTTCAAAGAATATGTGGAAACAGTGGTACACACTTTCAACATTAACCTGTCTGAGAAATGTCTGCTCCTTATTCTAAAATGAATATTTTGACCATCCATTTTTAGCTTTAGTGGAGATTGTGGATGGCAGAGCTTCCAAAGATTCAGTGTAGAATGGTGAGACCATGTTTTTACAGCTTAAGTTGCTATTTTTACTGTAAATTCAACAAGTTCTTAATAAAGTGAGTACCAATAAATAAGAAAGGCAGATGTCTTTCATAGAATTTCATAATTTGTCTAAATCCAGATAAAGGATTCAGAATTCAGTAAGTTTGACAAGGTAAATTTAATGGAGTTAGAATTAAATTTGATCACTAGTATAAAAGCCACGAAGAAACTGTGGTAAGCATGAGTGATTTTTTTTTTGTGAATTCTAATTAAAAACAAGTGGGATGATTTCCTAAACAGCTTATTATTTTACTGAGCATTTGATTGAGGAGTTGGAGAAAAGAAAGAATATATTTCACTATCTAGGTTCCATATATATTCAGAATGCACTTGCACCTTATTCAAACCACAATGTAGCTGTTAATTTTTGACTTATTTATTTAAATTCAATCATTATAGTTTGTTAATCATGATTAAGATTTTAACATGACATATGAATTCATCTATTGTGACTTATTGAACAAATTGTAATTAAAATAAACAATAACTGCATATGAACCAAGACTTGTATGTATTCTTTGTGAGCCTTCAAAGGCTTAACAAAGTTATATAAAAATATTCTGTCAGTTAAGTAACATCTTTCTTTCAGTGGCAGCTGAATCTAATTAATTAAATCTCATTTTATCAAGACAGCTTGACAGTGTGCTTTATATGAAACAAGTATCAATTTTAAAGAATCTTTAACAGATAAACCAAAATAACTGTAGATGAATACATGCTTTGTTCCATCTCTGGATGTACTCATGAACTGCTGTGTAATTATATAGAGATTTTTTTCACTTACAAATATTTTTGTTAAATTATTTATTCATTACAACATTTGCATGCCATCTGAATCCAAGACTTCCTGACAGCTCATATATAAGAAACACTATAAAACTATCAGGTATAAATTCAAGTCTTTATAAACATGAAAACAATGAAACCCATTAAAAATTATATTGAGTATAGGATATAGAAGGTTGGAAGATACCTTGGAGGTCTTCAACCACCTCCTCAAGCAGGAATCCCTATACCATTTCAGAAAATGATTGTCCAGTCTCTTTTTGAAAGCCTCCAGTGATGGAGCACCCACAACTTCTGAAGGCAAGCTATTCCATTGGTTGATTGCTAATCATTAGGAATTTTCTCCTTAGTTCTAGGTTGCTTCTCTCCTTGGTTAGTTTCCATCCATTGTTTCTTGTCCTGCCTTTTTGTGCATTGAGAAATAGTTTGATCCTGTCTTTGTAGGAGTAACATTCTTTGATCCTCTCATTTGCCTCTCTCATCTTTAAAATTAGCAACATTCAAAACTCAATTATGGTTGTAAATGGAAGACTACTTGTGCTTGTGAAAGTGTTTCTATTCCTGTACTTTATAGAAGAAGTCTTTGTTCTTTGGACAATTTGTGAAGCTTGCATATATTAATGACTTTACAAAAGTGCATTATTTTAGTAGTTTGTACATTGAAGTTAGAGAGACCTACTTCAACAGGATTCTACTTTGCTTGGTACCCCTGCTTTATTCCATTGTAGTAAACATGAATTTAAAGTACTCATTTTGTGAATTATTTTGTTTCAGAATGTCCCTGTTGTCTCATTCTTTCATTCTAGCCCTTTACTCCATCATATTATTCTGTGTATTTTTATGGATCCCATTTGTCTACTTCTACTATGAAGAGAAAGATGAAGATGATGGCAATACATGTTCGGTAAAATGCTTATACTGCTGTCAATTGCTTGGTTGAATATGTAGGGTGAATAAGAAGGGTTTGATTGTTAAAATCCAATTTAAAAAAAGGGGTTGATTTCCTCGCTCCAGTGGTAGTTGAAACATTAAAAATTTTATCATGGTGAAAGGAAATAATGTTCTCTTACATAGAGTCAAGCTGGGTTTAACCTGTGGGTCCTTCCCCCTCTGAATATCCTTATGGGAACACAGTTTAGTTCAGTATAATCTGCTTTGACAAGCAATAGCTCTTCGGGAGAAAAGGGGGTGTAGAATCATACTGGGGCTTTTGCTTTTACTTATCCTTTTAACTGTAATGTCAGGATTATCTGATTCTTTCTCTATGCAAAGCATATGCTATATCGCTGAGGTACATTTTCTTGCCTTGTGCCCACAGCTGTAGGCTTCTTAAATCTGTTCAGAAAATTAAATGAAAATAAAATGCTTCTAAATGTGACATTAATGATCAAAATTGGTAAAAATGCTGGAGTTTGGGCCAGGTTTCGTAAGTCATTATCACAGAGTGAAATACATTATGTTTAAAAATGCTCATATATTTATATATTACTAGAATTAACATCATAGCTTTATTACTATATGATACTTATAGCCTCTTAGAATAATTGCTCCTTTTTTCTGTTTGGCAAATGTGCCTGTTAAGGCAGAATTGGAGACAAACTTTACAGTAAACCTTAATCTTAACTAATAAGGGAAGAAGTTTTAATTAAAGCTGAATATTCATTAAGTGGAGAATGAATTCAAGCTACACTTGTACATGAAAATCTGCCCTACTAATTACAGTGAATAACTAATATTTTCTAGACTGAATTTTCAAATAACTTGCTTTGCTTGGGACAAAGTTTGCTTTTGCCTAAAATTTGGAAAAAAAATAACATCCAGCAGATTTTAATCTATTAAATTGCGATCTGTTAAATTGAGGATTCAATTTATAGCAAACTACTTAACATTTGTCTACAATCACAATTATCAAAATCCCCCCCCCCCTTTTTTTTATAAATAGAAGCTGTTGCCACTACATTGTGGTTTGATTTTGTTCTTCTTTAGAAATTAGATTTGAAAGCATTTTATTAGTGTGATTGTAAAATAAATGAGAATAATTTCTGGCATTAAATGTTACTTTCCAACCTGACAACAGTAGCCAAGAAAGGGAACCAGAATTTCCCTGCTGATCTAGTGGATTGAAACATTATTTTAAAATAAAAATTGTGCAGAGACTGAACCAAAGAATGAGGCTTAATAGACCTTGAAATAAAATAGATTTTCCATGTAGACAAAAAATATTGAGGCATCTATTGTGAAAACTTATATTTTTCCAATAGAAAGATCAGGGCATTCCATAGAGGACAGATCCTTCCTACATACTCAAGTGATAGGGCTATAAAAATTCTGACATTCTTCCTATGCAAAGAGATGGATACTTTTCTAGTTCTACCGTCAACCAGTGTGCACACCCAACACTTGTCTAGCTTTTCAAAGGCCAGGAGTCCATCCATTTGTCCATCCATCCAACCATTTATTAAATGTATATGCCACCATTTTGCCATCAGGTGACTGGGGGCTTACAAGAAGATAAAAACCACAAAATAAAACATTAAAGTGATAAGTATTAACATTAAAATGAACAAGGAAGGAAGGAAGGAACCAATATACAATGTGGTGGAGCTGGAGTCATCGCTTAATGTACTAACCACCTTGAGTATGAAATGCCACCATCAGAATCCAGGCCAGTTGGCAGAGGCAGGCTTTGAGGTCCTTCCGGGCAGATCTCACTACAAGGGACACAATGTTCCAGAGTGTGGGAGCAATGGCAGAAAAGATTCCTTGATCAACAGTGTCCGCAGCATATCCCTTCTGCTACTGCAAGTGTGGTGGGCCAATCTCATTGGGAGCAACAAAATCCTTTCTTCTTTCTACTCTCTTTAATTTCCTTTTAGACCTCTCTGATAGATGGGGCCAACTTGTGGCTGGTCCCCAATAGCATAACATACAACCTCATCTTCCTGCCATATTCTAGGTATTGGCTGCTGATATCCAGAACACAGAAAGCCATCTGATTTTCCTATGAGAAGAATCACATCACGGAAATAGCTGTGGTATATGTCCTTAAAGAATGTCATCATTTCCCTGTAGGAAAATGATACGTTAGGCTTACTGTGAAAGGTTTTTATGTAGACATGGTGGACTTACCATGCTTTTTCTATAACAGAGAACCTATCCAAGCTTTAACAGTAAAAGGGAAAATATATGGGAGACCATATCAATATTGGCTACCATTTATACATAATTTGTTCTTCTGTTCTCTTTCTCAAACATTTGTTCTTTGATCCTTTTTCCTTGATCATCTTTCTGAAAACAGCTATCTCTTCCTATAGGAAAAATGTCAGAACTTTTCTAGTAATAATTCCAGAACTTAAGTGAACAAAAATATCCATTATAGAGTATCCTAGGTCCTCTGGAAAAAGTAACTTCATAATATGTCTGTGTTCTGTTTAATGGAAAGTATTCAGAAATTTACTTGACTAATGAATTCTCCTCCATCAATATATTATAGATGTCTGTGGTTTTACAAAATATTTTAGATTCCTGATTCAGATTTAAAAGAGGCCTTAATTTTAATGTGAAAATGGCAGAGATTGCATAGGAAGAAAATTGGGGGCATTTGATAGAGTTAATAAATCAGGTTTAATGAATATTGGATATTTTTCTGTTGAATAGGGTATGGCATGTTATAATCATTGTATAAAATTGACTATTATATATTAAAGAAAATTCTTTAAAAATCATAATTAGCACTAATTGTTACTATTTCTTCATATTGGTTTCTTATTTTATTTTTACAGCAGGTTAAAACTGCAGTCAAGTATACACTAGGATTCCTTCTGGTTTGTTCAGTTCTTCTAATGATTGGGTAAGCACTATGCATATATATATCTACACACATAAATATGCATAGATTATAATAGTATGGTTTATTTAACTGCCCTTTTAGTTTCCAAGATAGTTTATATAAGCATCAGCAAGTAGTAATTCTTTAATCCTATTGACAATGTCTTGCATACATAAATACGAATGGGTCATACTTTTGTTAAATGATTCTTATTTGAGACTACAAAAGAATGGCAAACAGTGAAAATTGATATGTTCTCAGTCCCGGCGTTTTTGATGCTTGATGGATTCATACCTCTCATTTTTAAAGTGAAATAAATACTGTAAAAAGTTGGAAATAAAATACAATTTTGGAGGAAGTTTGGAGTTGTGTTATGATGGTGTGGTACAGTTGAACCTTTATACTGTTCTCCAAGAGAAAAGTACTATGTCCTTGAAATAGAACTGAAGGAAAATCTTGAATTCTTCAAGAACTTTTACTGCTTCATAGTTTTTTCATCAGTTTTTGAAATATACCATATCTTGAATATAGCTGACACTGTTTTTAATCCATTGTTGTTTTAGGTGGTTATTCAGTTTTCACTGAGCTGTTGTATTAGACTTATATGCCTGCTCCTAAGAGTTGAGGAACTCTTCAAAGTAGAGTAATGTATGGCTTGATATAAAGCGAATTAATTCGAATTGGTATTCATGCTAATGATTTTTTTTTCAGTAACATAAAGTGATCATTAGATTTTTATTTTTGCTCTGGCCAACTATTTAGGAGTTATGTGAAGGTAACATTCTTTATTAAAATGTAAAAGAAGGACAGTTTATCTCCTGTACAGCCTAAAATATGCATATAATTTTTGTTGATTCTAAAATAATCATGTATGAGACTTGAAAGATTATTGTATGAAGCTGCAATCTTTTGCCCAGATTAATTAAATACAGTGCATGCCCCACACAAATGTCACTGTCTCCAATCTCTTCTCTAATATGTATCTTGAATTTGATGAATATTTATTGCTAGCTTGATCTCTACAATCCCTCGTTATTTGACTTTTTAGCTGAGAAAGTTGATATTTAGATAATACAAATTAAAAGGTAATACATTTTTGCTTGATAAATTTAATGTTTTTTTAAAATTTTGAGTTCTATGAGAAACTAATAAGTTTGATTAAAGTAATATACTACAGTAGTTTCATGAAAAGGGTGAGAGATCAACGTTTCTCTCTGCCACTAAAAAGTTAGCTTTTAGAAATTGAAGGTTTGAAATTGTTCTATTATTTTTTTAAGATTTAGAAAGGTTACATATGAGCTGTGCTGTGAATCCATTCGAATACTGACAATGATTATAAAACAGTGTCTTCATATTCTTATTAAGGTTATTGTCACATGCTTAGGATATAAGGAAATTCAAATGAGCATAAAGATTTATGCAAGCATAATCTATGTACAAGAATCTGGCCAATGACCATTAGGGAAATGTGCAGGAGGTAAGAGAGAGATTCAAGGTGGGCTGGACTAGATCTTTTGCGGGCATGAAGGGACTTATGACATGTTTGACCCTTCCCTCGGGCTCAGCCTGGTCATCTCCTTCAATTATACATTGAACAAAATTTCTTCTAAAGCGATTATTTAAATTCCCTATAAATGGAATGTTATAGAAATCTATTTTTGTTTTCCATTTGTAACCTTTCTTTCTCAACATTACTTCTGTCTCCTTTCCCCTAAATAACTTGAAGTCTCACACAGTCTCTTTTAAATGACAATACCAGGAATTTTATTTCTACATGGAAATTCACTATTTTTTACAGGCCTAATTTACTAATTTAAAATAAAATGTAATCTTAAAAGAAATAAGCATGGATAAATGGTTTATTGCCATTTTCTTAAAGTATTTGTTACTTCTCATAATGGTTTACTTCTCCTTAAGCCTGCATACACTGCTACTCAATCATTGGTATAGCATTGTCACTATTACTGCATATTTTCAAGAAATCATATATCGCTGTGTTGAATAGATTGCCCTTTTGCTGTAAAACATTAACTTGAGTCCAATATTATTGGATTTTGATTATTTTATTTTTATTAAAGTGGGGTAGAATGAAGCTCTTATTTTATTATAAGCTGTGTGTATGTTGAAGACACCACTAAAATACTTCTTTTCAATGTGGTACAAATGCATACCTATTTTTTTGACATAAAATGCCTGCATTGTAATGTAGCATATCACTTTTCATTTTCTAATTTTTAAAAGATAGTTGCCTCCAGAAATTTGGGAAAGAAGGTTAAAGCCAATTTCTAGTCAACAGTTCCAAGATATACTATAAAAAAAGTAGCAATAAAATGTGTGATATTATTTGCTAAAATTTATTTAATCTCAATACTACTCCAGGTTTATTTTTCATCCTTACTGGAGAAAGCTTGTGTGTGTGTATGTGAATATAAACAGATAGCATCAAAATAAAAAGAAAATAGAACTAGATATAATATATTTATTAATTTAAATATTTTAACAAGCCTGGATGACTGAGAATCTCCATAAACAAGCGCACACTTATGATTCTTCCCCAATAACCGTTTGATTTGTCGTCTTGTGAGACTGATTAATCACTAATTGTGAGAATAATGGAGAACACCCCAACTAAAATTTCTTATTTACTGTTGATCCTTTATTGACATTTGGGTTACTTAAAAGGTATGGAGAAGTAGCAATAGCACTTAGCAATAGCACTTAGTGCTATTGCTTTACAGCCCTCTCTAAGTAATTTACAGAGTCAGCCTATTGCCCCCAACAATCTGGATCCCGATTTTACTGACCTGGGAAGGATGGAAGGCTGAGTCAACCTCAAGCTGGTGAGACTCGAACTGCCAAACTGCTGGCAGCAAGCAATCAGCAGAAGTAGCCTGCAGTACTTCATTCTAGCCACTGCGGCTAACATTCTTACGTGACTCTTGGAGTTTTCTGTGGAAACAAATGCAGTACACATTAGTAAATTTTGAATGAAGACATGCTTAAAATTATTTTAGAAGCAAATAGTTGTGAGTTCATTTCTCTTTTGCATACTTTTGAATTTAGCATATGTTCATGTTAGGCATGCTTACCAAAATAAAACGCTTACACATTCTGTATTTGGCTGGTTGTCTCAGCATATGGCGGTGCCTGGTTGATCTTATCTATATACATAAGCTAAGGAGGGTCAGGCTTGATCAGCATTTAAAAGGGAAGAGTCCAGACATGGAGATCTATAGGCTAGACTAGAGAGTTGAAAAGCATACCAGAAGGTGGCAGTGATAAGCCATTTCTGTGTTATTGTTAAGAAAACCACACAAGCCGGTCCATCAAATCTGTAGGAGTTAAGCTTCACTTGGAACAGTTAATTTGCCTGCTTTCTTTTCTTGCTTTCTTTATTTTCTTTGAATTTCTGATTTATCACAAAACCCATCCCAAGCTAAAGATACTGCATTAATTTTTAAAAAACATGTTTAAAATCAGAAAATAAATAGCATATGAAGCAAAGAAGTTAGTTATTTGTTGTTGTTTTTTAGTCAGGTGCAGTTGCTACAGCATGCCAGTATTATTAGAATAATCATATAGATTGATTTTATATGTTTCATTTATCCTATTACAGAGCTTTTGTTCCATTGGATATTCCTAGCAAGAAAAATTCAACAGAGTGGGAGAAAATACAACTTTTGTTTGAAGAACTTGGAAGTAGCCGTAAGATGTTTTTTTTCTTGTAAATCAGTTGAATAATTTTGTATTTTCTCACTCTAAATTCCATTGGATTGGGGCAACTTGCATTTCAATGTGTGTAAATTAATGAACTGCTAATCATGAGGGGATAATCTGGGTATTATAGAACTATTACATTAGGTGTAGTTTCAGTATTGAAGACCTAGATACCATTTACCTTTTACTATAGGGTAGTAAAAGGTAGTGGTTGCGCGATAGCTTCCCCAGTACCTGGATGAAACGACGTATCTGGATCCGTTCCAGTCGGGTTTCAGGCCTGGCTACAGCACGGAAACGGCATTGGTCGCGTTGGTGGATGATCTCTGGAGGGCTCGGGACAGGGGTTGCTCCTCTGTCCTGGTCCTGTTAGATCTCTCAGCGGCTTTTGATACCATCGACCATGGTATCATGCTGCACCGGTTGGAAGGGTTGGGGGTGGGAGGCATGTACTACGGTAGTTCTCCTCCTTTCTGACCGGTCGCAGTCTGTGTTGACAGGGGGGGCAGAGGTCGACCCCGAGGCCCCTCATATGTGGGGTGCCACAAAGATCGGTCCTCTCGCCCCTTTTGTTCAACATTTATGTAAAGCCACTGGGCATGGTTTTGGGGTGAAATACCACCAGTACGCTGATGACACCTAGCTGTACATCTCCACCCTGGACCACCCCAACAATGCCTTTGAAGTGATGTCCCGGTGTCTGGAGGCCGTATGGATCTGGATGGGGAGAAACAGGCTCAGGCTCAACCCATCCAAGACCGAGTGGCTGTGGTTTCCGACGTCCCGATATAGTCAGCTGCTGCCATCGCTGACTATTGGGGGCGAATCATTGGCCCCCACGGAAAGGGCTCGCAACTTGGGCATCCTGGATTCACGGCTGTCTTTAGAAGAGCACTTGACGGCCGTGACCGGGAGGATTTTTCATCAGGTTCGCCTGATTCGCCAGTTGTGTCCCTTTCTAGATCGGGACTCCCTACACACGGTCACTTATGCCCTCGTCACCTCCTATCTGGACTCTTGTAACGCTCTCTACATGTGGCTCCCCTCGAGCACTCGGAGGCTCCAACTGGCGCAGAGTGAGGCTGCGCGGGTGGTTTTGGGAGCGACGTGGTATTCCCATGTAACACCTCTCCTGCGCGAGCTGCACTGGCTCCCGGTGGTCTTCCGGGTGCGCTTCAAGGTTTTGGTTATCACCTTTAGAGGGCTCCATGGCTTAGGACCTGGTTTAGGACCTGGTTATTTACGGGACCGCCTGCTACCACCAACAGCCTCCCACCGACCAGTACACTCCCATAGAGAGGGGCTCCTCCGGGTTCCGTCAGCCAAACAATGTTGACTGGCGGCCCCTAGGGGAAGACTTTCTCTGTGGGGGCACCTACTATATGGAACGAGCTCTCCCTGGAGATACGGAGGATCCCAGATCTGCGCACCTTCCGTTGCGCGCTCAAGATTTTCTTATTTCATCAAGATGGCCTGGCCTAAATCTTTTCCCCTTTTAAATGTAAATTTTAATTTGTTTTTAAATTATTGGGTATTTTAAATTTGTCTCAGCCAAATTATTTAATTTGTTTTTATTCTATTTTAAAATTTGTATTTATGTGTTTTATTCTGTGGCTGTTCACTGCCCTGAGTACTTCGGGAGTAGGGCGGTATATAAATCCAATAAAAACAAACAAACAAAAACAAAAAAACCAAAAAAAAATATGCAAAGAAATTGTATTTATGGTAGTTGATTCTGAGTCTTTTGAGGAACTAATATAAATAATTATTTATTAAATTTATTTATTTATTGAATTTATATTGCCGCCTATTCGCCCATGGCGACTCAAGGCATCTTACATAATTTAAAACCACATTAAAAAACAATAAAAGAACTAATAAAACTAAATAAAAGAACTAAAACTAATAAAAGAATCAAATAAATTAATATAATAAAATCATCCCCCACCTCCCACTCTAGCGACAGCAGATCACACGAGCCATTTAATGGGCTCCATTGAGGGGTGAAATTCACTTACCTTCGCTATTGATTCGCAAATGTGAACGCTCACTCCTCCGTACATGCGCAGAGACTTTTGCACATGTGCAGAGGGTCAAAAATGGGATGTGATGATGTCCGGGCAGGTGGGCAGAGGCTCCCGCCTCTGGCACTATCGGTTCGCCCGAGGCGGATACAACCGGCTGAATTTCACCACTGGCTCCATCCCACTCTGGGTTCCCTAGGCCCGCTGGCAGAACCAGGTCTTCAGCACCTTCCAGAAGAGTATTAGAATGAGGGCCATTCTAATCTCTGGGGGAGTGATGTTCCAGAGAGAGGGAGCCACCACGGAGAAGGCCCTTCTTCTGGATCCCACCAGGTATATTTCCCTCAGGGATGGGACCTGCAGCATGGAGAGCTCTAATATGGAGAGCTCTAAAGTTTCGTATAAGGAGCTAATTTAAGAATGCCAGTATTAGGCTCTGTTTTATTTTCATTGCTGAATGTATAACATTCGAACAGAGAGAGCTGGAGATATCATGCAATGATCACGGAGCTGGACTAATTAATGTCCTTGATACCCTCAGATTGTATGGTTCATTTAAAGTACCCTATTTTTTTCTTTGAAGTTGTAGTCCTTCCAGGCAGCCTACTCCCAGTGAAGAAAAAATGGATATATTTGAGTGATAAAATTTAGAAATCTTATTGGAAAAAGTACAAACACACTCCAGGATTAACAAAAGTGTTGAATATGGGCCAATGCTCATAGGAGTTTAAGCCAAAAGTATTATTAGTGACATCATTATTTCTTAACAGAGTAATAGAGGATTAGTGACCTTCACAGTTTTGTAGCATTCTAATTCAGCACTACCTAGTATAGCCGCAGATCAAGGATGATGGGTTTTGTAGTCCGGCAAGGCCTGGATAGTCTCCAGTTCCTCACTGCTTGAATTAAAGGTTTAAATCAATGCTAACATCAATTTTTAACAAAACGTCGGGTGGGTGGGGGGAGCGGTTGGTAAATGACTACTGAGATTTGATATTCTATTCTGCCTTTAACAATTATTTACACTACCAATTATTGATACTTCATTGTTCTCCGTGATACTTGATTGCATTCAATTGATTCTGTTTGGTTGTATATATTTTAATGAAACAATTCTATTTTTTTCCTTGCAGATGGTTTAGCTGCCCTCTCCTTCTCCATAAGTTCTTTGACCCTTATTGGAATGGTGGCAACTATTACCTATACGGTGAGCAACTTATTTTTGGTCTTATCTCCGTTGAAGGCTGGCTTCATTTTTCAACATTTTGAACTCTGCCCCTTGTTAATTCAGATTCAAATCCAGTGTTGTTGAGGTTAAGGCATAACAAGTGATTTAAGCTGCAACTCTATAATATTTCCCTAAACTTATTTTGCAAGTTCTCAGTTTTAGATTAACAAACAAAGTGAGGTTTAATTGGATGATGTAATTTATTCTTTAAAAGAGAAGATTGAGAATAAGAATGATGCATTTTTAGCTCTTTGGATGTTATTCAACTATTTTTCCCATAACATTTACGCTTTCTGGTGTATACCATATTTTTGGAGTATAAAACGCACTCCCCCCCCCCTAAAAGAGGGTGAAAATTTGGGTGCATCTTATACACCGAATGTAGCCCTGCCCACCTGCTGGCCCCCACCCTTTGGCCTCTGTCTCCCAGCAATTTGCCTCCTTGCAGCAAACAGCCAGTTTCAGTTTCAGCTTCAGCACAGCCTGATTAGTTCAAGCAGCTGATTGTCGGTTGTATCGGCCTTGACTATTAGCTGTTTCAGGCTTCAGGGATTGCCATTACCTATTGCTGCCTCCACATCCCATTTTCGGCCTCCACTCGCCCGTTTTTGGCCTCTGCGCGAATTAGCTGCTTGTGCTAATCAGGCTGTGCTGAAGCTGAAGCTGAAACCGGAATGGACTGTTTGCTGCAAGGAGGCAAATTGCTGGGAGGCAGAGGCAGATTTTTTTTCTTGTGCTAATCAGGCTGTGCTAAAAATGAAACTGAAACAGGCTGTTTGCCTGTTTGCTGCAAGGAGGCAAATTGCTGGGAGGCAGAGGCAGATTTTTTTTTCTTGTTTTCCTCCCCAAAAAAGGTAGGTGTGTCTTATAGTCCGGAGCATCTTATCTCCAAAAAAGTGGGTACTTTAAGAATCAAAGATAACATTGAAGAGCCATGGATTTCACACTGCTTCTTGACTCCTATTTATTTTTCTTTATTATTTTTATAAATAATTCGAGACAATGCACATACCTAATGCTCCACCCTTCTTCTGTTTTCCCCACAACAACAACAACCCTGTGAGGTGTGTTAGGCTGAGAGAGAGTGACACCGGCCCAAAGTCACCCAGCTAGCTTTCAGACCTGAAGCGGGATTAGAACTGATAGTCACATAGTTTAACCACTAAACCAAATTCTGTCTCAAGGCTCCAATATGTCTTTAACAGAGTTAAATATTTTTTTCCTTTTAAAACTCTATGCAGGACTTATAACAATGACAGCTTTTAGTATATAAGCAGAAGCTGTGCAGCAAAATTTTCTTACCTACTATCGGGGCCAAATTTGTTTAGAAAGTCCTTAATCTGTACAGCAGAGTTTAAGGGTGTGGGGAAGGCTCCAGTGGGGCGAGAAAAGCAGTTACATCATCAGGAAAATTATGCTCATTATGCAAAGGACAATATTATTTAAGGACAGGGAATCCACATGACTGATGCATTGTTGAACCAAATTTTAATATGAAAGTAGTTTGCAATGTTTAAATATCAAACAGTTACTTTTAAAGTTTTAGATAGTAAGGCAGTCCTTGACTTACGAAAATTCACCCAATAACAGTTCAAATTAACAACAGCTTCTACAAAATTCAATTATGACCTGAATTTGTTGCTATTCTCAGGGCCACATGATCGTAATTGGGCACTGCAACTGGCTCACATTTACAACCAGTTGTAGTGTCACATGATCACAATTTGTGATGGGTTTTGCTGGTTTCCAACAAAAAATGGCAAAAAACAAAAAAATGCCATTGGTTAAGGTGGATTTGCTCTTATAACCAATGCAAAAAAGGTCATAAAATCAGATCTGGTTATGTAATGACTTACAACCACAATGTCTTATGGCAGAATTTGGTCCCAGATGTGGTCGTAGGTTTAGGACTATCCGTATGGATTTGTCTAAAAGTATTCATAAATATAGTTAATAGTTGTTTTGAAATGATTATATACTACTATTGCATGTTTTCAAAATTTAGTATCCAGGGAGAGAGAAGGATATTAAAATGAATAGTATAATTGTGATATATTATCCTGACTCCACAGTACAGTCAGAAAATATTTGTTGCCATTCTAAGTCGCTGTGTTAAAGAGGAGGATATGGAATTGGATTGCTGCTTCGATATATCTTAGCATTGAACTTCTCAGCATGTTGGCTAAAATATTTTCTTAGGTTAAAAGCTTTTGCCTTAAGTCCTCATTTAATGATCACAACTGGGACTAACAACTTGGTTATTAAGTGAAGCAATTGCTAAGGGAAACCCCACCTGTGCTTATGAGCTTAATTCAATTGTCCTTTGCTATATAGGCCTGTAATAAATGCAAGGATAAAGTTACTTTTTCATCACAGTTGTAACTGCAAACAGTTTCTAAACAAGGCAATCGCTAAAGGAGGACTTTCTGTAATAGGACATAAAAAGATCATATCCTTTGCCCTTATTGTGGGGTATCCCACACTGTAAATGGGTAGCATAGTTTTTTATTTCCCTGGGCACCTGGAGTCCTAGTTATTTTCCTTTGGAATTTATTTGATACATTGCTGTTTTTAGAATCAGGAAATATATGTAAACTGCAGGAGAAGAATGGAATGAAAAGATTTATATATTTATTTAGTTAGCTAGCTGGAACGGCTCTGGCCTTGAGAATGGGAAAGTGATGAGTGAACTGTTAAGAGTGACTTTCAGAAAAGATTATTCAGTCCTGAAAAGATGAAAGCATAAGAAATAAATTTCAAAGTAACCCCATCTTGATTTTGGTTGGTACAAGATAAGGCAAACAGAACCTCAGAGAGGCTTTCAAGATTCTATCTTGCTATAATAAACAGCAGTCTGAGAATCCCCACTGTCTCTGTTTCTTGATCTTGCTTGCCTCAAAGAATTCACAGCATACATATACAAATTAACAGCATGGATATTGTTAAAAGATCAACCATCCAAAGGTACAGATAGTGCTCACTTGATGACTGGTCTCTTAACCATTGTTTGAAGTTACGATGGACTTTAAAAAAGCTACTTATGATCCATCTTCAAAGTTACATCTGTTGCACCCACCCACCCATCCCATGATCATGTGATTGCATTTTAGGTACTTGGCAACTGGTTCGCGTTTTGACCAGCTGCAGTGTCCTGCAGTCACGTGACCATGATTTGCTACCTTTTTGTCATTTTCTGGCAGAAAACAGCAAAAAACACACACTGGATATGCTGGATTTGCTTATTGAGCATCTGATTTACTTTATAACATCAGAAAAAAAGATTGTAAAATTGAGTCTGGTCACAGAGCGATCTGCTTAACAACTGCAACTTGCGTCCAAAATTCCTGGCTCAGTTGTGGTCATAAATCAAGGACTATTTGTAGAATAAGAATGATCATATAAGAAAAGCAAAAAAGAGAGATGCTTGTAATCACTCTGTGCCCAAAAGCCTCCAAAATTTAATAGTTTGAGGGCTTTCCCAAATAAAGTGAGAGCTAATTGCATCTGCAGGAGTATTCCATAAGATTGTCTAATTCAAACTTTCATTTCCCATTGGAAAGGGTGATTTTCATAGATTCTAAAGTCTAATGGGCTATAATACTGAATACAGTAGAAACAAAGCCTTATTGTTGTTATTATTTATACAGTGCCCAACTCCCAGCAACTTTGGGCAGTTTACACATTATTTAATAATTTTTCCCATTATTCTTCATGAATGTTGCTATCATTCTGTTTCAGGACTTGAAAATTACTAAGATTTTAGTTTTATGGGTTATCTTTATTGAAAATATAATTGTTTATCCATTTAAAAGCTTAATCCTCTTTCTATTAAGTACTAAAAATATTTGAGATTTGTAACTGAGTAAAACCTGTCAGTGCATTTACAAAAAACTGACAAATTAATTCTGACAAAAAAATCTCCAAATGAAATGTAACTTGAGTTTTATTTTATGAAGAGCCGTGGTGGCGCAGTGGTTAGAACGCAGTACTGCAGGCTAACTCACTCCAGGAGTTCAAGGTTCAAGGTTGACTCAGCCTTTCATCCTTCCGAGGTCTGTAAAATGAGGACCCAGATTGTTGGGGGCAATATGCTGACTCTCTAAACTGCTTAGAGAGGGCTGTAAAGAACCATAGAACGGTATATAAGTGCTATTCACAAAGCTGTATCTATTCCATTTATTACCCACTAGTGGACATTTCTAGGTAGCAAGCTTATTTAAAGTATGGTGTTGTCTCTTAGGAGTCCTTTTTAGTCGTGTTATTTGTACCTACAAAAGGCAAGGCATAGGCAGAACAAGAGTCAAGGCTGAGTTTTTTCCAAAGCCAGGGGAGTGTATACCAAAGCAAACAATAAACAAAGACAATCTCCCCCAGCTTCTGCTTAAGTCAATCCACGCCAGGTGTTCCTCGTGAAGAAGTGCAGGGTCACCTTCTCCTGAGCAGCTTTTCAGACCTCCTTTGAGTTTGCCTCCACTCTACTCTGTGCCCTTAGATTGAGTGGTGGAGATAGCTGTTCTTCATCAGAGGGGATCTGCTGCTTTCAGTACCACTGCCTATCTGCAGCTGATCTTCCCGCATATCTGTCTGGTCAACCACCTCCCACAAGGGTCTCGGGACAGCATCATCCTCAGTTCCTGACCTCTCTAAACATTCCAAGGGATATGTGCTATCTTCATCAGACGGTCCCGGTTCCTATTCCTCCTCTTCCAAACCAGGATCCAATGGGGCCATGACACTGGGCTATAGAAATGGACTCTGAGCTGGGGTCCAGAAAATAGTATGGTGGGAATAGAATATCTTCTAAGGAAACATGCTAACTGTGTATTCCAGAGATGCTTTTAAATGACCTCATTCTTATTTCAAATAAATCGAAAGTTTCTGCAAAGCATTGAGTAAATAGTTACACTAGTGGCTCTTCACGGACACCCTTTAAACACGTTTTGTGGCCATGGATTATGGCCAAGGACTCCCAAGACTTC